AAGCATGTAATGATGTGAAATGTTATAAGATTAATTTGTAATTTGATTCCTGTAGGAATTGGAAATTAATCTAGATTTCTATCAGGAGAGGGCGGTAGTTTCAAAGACGTCATGTTTGTGGACATTCCCACCAGTACGATTACCATCACCATTACATTCCCACTTCCTTCCACAGACTATATAAACAGAAACCAGACCAGAAAGGGGACTCGTCTTAGAATTGTTTTCCTGGTCCTAAGAAATTCTTTCCTGTTTCCTGGTCAGACGTTAGCGATTGTAAATCGCGCTCTGACACCCGCCCTGTTGAATAATTTACCTCAGACGTGCCGGTTGTAGTACCGCGCTCTGAAACCCTTCCTGAATTAAAAGTGTACGGCCGTATAGCCGTGCCGTTAATTTGGGGTTACCTGACTATCCAGTACAAAGAGGTGCAGGTCGTATGACCGCGCTCTTCCTGTTACCATCCGTGGAAAAAGTATACGGCTGTATAGCCGTGCTCAGAATTAGGTTATCCCTGTGGTGAAATTTCGGTAGACGCTGCGAATGTAAATTCGCGCTCGACTGGAACCAGCCTTCCTGTAATCTACCCCGAATATTTTTGTACTTGAGCTTCTAACGTAAAACTTACTTGATTTATATTGATCCCGTGTAAAGTTAAATCATAGAAGTGGTCTTTGAAACTACCTACCGGTTGTTCATACTGGAAGCTAACGTGATATCAGTTACAGGTTAACAAAACTACCACGAGTGTCAATTGTCCCGGTCGACCCCTCCTACTTGGGTCGCATTCAATCATTTTTAGTTTTCTTTATTTTGTAAATATTTTGTACATATATTTGTTTAATTATATTTTCTTGGAAAAAACAGGGTTTTAGTTTATTAAAAGTGGGGACCTGATATCTCCGGCTGTAGAGCTACGCAGCATCTCCCGGTGAACCTGAACCATAGGCAACCAACCATACAGTGTTGTATGGGTGAACAGGAGGGGGTTTAGGAATGGGAGATTTTTTTGGAGGTCCTTGGGTTACCAATAGGCAAAGGGTAGTTTGTAACCCTTAGGACCGTTACAAAGTGGCGCCCGAGCAGTTTAAAGAAGAGAAAAGTACATGCAAGTAAGCTATTAACAATTAAAACTATTCTAGCTTCCAAAAAGGATTTGTGTAATTTTCCAGTTTGAATTTAATTTTGTTTTCCAGGATAATTTTTATTTCTTTTAGTTTTCCAGAACCTGTAATATAGTTAGTTAATTAGGGAATAGTTACATACGTACCACGATATGCCAGGAGACGAACCTCAGGCGGAGAAAATGGAACCCGAACCAAAGATCGGGTGGGTCTACACAAAGAGGAAGGAAGAATTAATCGCAGAATTAGACGATAGGGGAGTGAAGTCCACTGGTACAGTCGAGGAGTTGAGGGCCAGGTTAATACGGTATATTCGTGATCCACTGGGAACTGCAAGTGACCTAGAACCAGAAGAACATAAGGAAAAAGAATCCATAACTTCAAAAGGAACAATACCAAAAACCAGGTATGAGACCACTTCCAGATCAGAGAGACATCAGCACACAAGGGAGCCAGGGCAAGTGCCAGTGGGTAAACCAACAGCTGCAGAACTAAGTGATAAGGTGCGGAAGTGGGGAGTTAAATTTGATGGTACTGGTGATCCAATATCATTCCTAGAAAGGGTGGAAGAATTAAAAACTTGTTATGGATTCGAGAATGAAGATTTATTAAGAACCTTACCGGAAATGCTAAAAGGTAAAGCGTTGCTTTGGTACAGGAACCACAAAGATGGGTGGAGAAATTGGGCCGATGTCGTCGATAGTGTCGAGATATACTTCCTTCCATACAGGTATCGATTTAAGCTGGAGGAAGACATCCGAAACAGAATTCAACGGCCAGGGGAAAAGGCAGCAGACTACATCACGGACATACTCACATTAATCCGAAGGCAGGGAGAAATGTCCAGGCACAGCCAATTGGATAGAATATATGAAAATCTGCGAACAGAATATAAACATTATATTCGGCCAAGGGACTTCAACAGCTTATCGGACTTACTGGAATTCGCAGGGGAATTTGAAAGGTTGCCTAAGACAGTAAATCCAGTCAGTCACAATTGGGGTAGCCCGAGGGTAAGGTTTGAAGCAAGAACAGCACCTAATAGGTTAGAAAGAAGTCCAGATAGAGTAAGCGGGGAAGCAACAAATACAATGAGAAGAAAAGAGGATAGAAGTAGTTACCAAAGGAGTGAAGTTTGCTGGAATTGCGGAGAAAGGGGCCATCAAAGGAGGTTTTGTCGGGGTGAGTTTAAACCCTTTTGTTCTAGGTGTGGAAAAGAAGGAATCTTGTCCAAAGATTGCAATTGCCAGAGAACGGGAAACGAGAAACGCCAGTAAAGGAACCCCAGGAGTCCCTCTACAACATGGCCAAATATCCTGAAACAGAATTTAGTAGGAAATTGACTACTAATCCAAATAATTGTCTATGTCATACAAACCAGTCCTGCCAGATGAAGACTGCCGTTTGTTTATGACAATCGGAATTTTTGGAAATCCCTTTTTAGCATTAATCGATACAGGGGCAGCACGATCCTATATAGGGAACAAGGTAGTTGAATTACTCAAACATAAAAAAATGTTACCAGCAGCAGGCCAAGCGATAACGGTCCAATTAGCAGATGGTACGGAAGTAAACACGAAGGGAAGATGTCGAGTTCCCAGCCAGATAGGGAGGAATCACATGGAGCTGGAATATCAACACCTTCCTGGACTGACATCCGACATAATAATAGGAATGGATTTCTTGATACAGAAGGACGTCCAGTTAAATTTCAGACAGAAAACGATGAAGCTCTTTGATGAGGTAATAGATTTAAATGTAAATCATGCATCCAGGTTAGATGGCATCAAAGGATTAGAGGGGAACCAGTTAATCATCTTGAATAAGTTCCTAGAAACAGAATTGGAGCATTTTAAAAATTCGCCAGGGAGAACTGCTGCAATTACACATACAATAACGGTAAAACCAGAAGCAGAACCATGCAAACAAAGGTATTATCCAAGAAATCCAGCCATACAAGCAATCATTAATGAAGAAGTGGATAAGATGTTAGAGGACAAGGTAATAGAACCATCCAGAAGTCCTTGGAGCTCACCCATCGTGTTAGTCAAGAAACCATCAGGCAAGTATCGTTTCTGCATTGATTATAGACAGGTTAATCAAAGAACAGTCAAAGATGCGTACCCTTTACCACAAGTCCAAGGGATACTACATAGATTAAGAGAAGCCAGATATATTAGTACTCTAGATTTGAAAAATGGATACTGGCAGGTACCTCTGAGTGAAGAAAGTAAGCCTGTAACCGCTTTCACTGTCCCAGGAAGAGGACTATTTCAATTTCAAGTACTCCCGTTCGGTTTACATTCAGCACCAGCAACATTTCAAAGGTTACTAGACGAAATATTAGGACCAGAAATGGAAGAAAAAGCATTCGCATATCTAGATGACATCATCATAATAAGTAAGAGTTTTAACGAACATTTAAACATTTTGCAGGAGGTTCTACGTAGGCTAAGGGAGAATGGTCTCCAACTACAAATAGAAAAATGTGTCTTTTGTAGAACAGAGCTTAAATATCTAGGACATGTGGTAAATAGAGAAGGAGTCCGGCCAGATCCGGAGAAAGTAGAAGCTATTGTGGGGGTAGTTTGTAACCCTTAGGACCGTTACAAGCATGTTGTCATTAAAAAAAACTGCATTCGGTCATTTTCATATTTGGTAAAAGAGCTTTCGCCAAAATATGAAAATAAACTCATGCAGTTTTTAGACAACATGCTTTCAAAAAAAAATTACCGGTAATTTTGATGCACTTGTGCAATTACTTACGATAAATGCACGTGTGGTATTTCAGCGACAATTCAATGACATTTGTCAAACTTCCACCAGTGAAATGGGGCGAAATTTTTTCGTATTAACTGGAACATTCATCTTAGTTTGTTAATCAATTTCGCAAGCGCTCGTGGTATTAATCAGCGTAACTAGCATTCGTGACAGCACCTCAAAAATATTCGACAATACTTCGACTACTTATGGTATTATATATGAAAAACGCTTTGACGAAAGATTTATTACCAGAGAAGGTTCCGCAGTGAGAAACGACGGGTCTATTTTGAGAAATACCGAAATTGACTAATGATGCGTTTCCGGTCATATATCCCGGACAACCGGTTTATATGACCCAAAAGTGACCACCGAAAAGACAATTGCCATCAGAGCATGAAATTGAGGTCAGAAAAAATGAAGCAGAACAAGAAAAGAAGCTAGAGAAAAATCAGGTCAAAAGATTTTGTAACGGTTAATTTTCTATATTTTCTCCGGAATCTCGGTTTAGTTTAATTTACATTCAATTCGGGCGGCAGGTTGGGAATGTTTTAAGGGCAGGTCTACCAGAGGATTAAGGTGCGTTGACACGGTGCTAGTGTGCTCGGCCGAGACCACTAGCATGCCTACTCGGCCGGTACTCGCATAAAACTCGTACTGTGTAAACAAACAAGCGAGTACACTTGACAGTTGTAAATTCTCGTACGAGTTAGTCGGTCGTCTTCCAACTTTCGGCGTGCGAGTTTCATGCTAGTTCTCTTTTAAAACATGGCGGTCAAAAGATGGACAGAAGCGCAAACTCTTAAATTTGTTGAATTGTATGAAGATGCAGAATGTTTATGGAATTTTCGGCATGCCCTTTATAAAAATAAAGACGCAAGAGACACAGCCTCAAGAAATTTGATTAACCAAATGAATTTACCGAATTTTGATAACAATGATCTGAAAAATAAAATCAAGAATATAAGAAGCACTTACGTCCAAGAAGTAAACAAAATAAAGCGTGCGATTAAATCCGGAATGTCACCTGATGAATCGTATGTTTCGCATTTGCCATGGTTTAACACAGCCCACAGATTTTTAAAGGAAGTGGTTAATACCAGGGAACATTTCTCAAATCATGTAAGTAGAAAATATACACATCAAATTTTATTTCAGGCTTATACACATTATTAGTCCCAAGCAAATCAGAATTAGTTTACTAGTGTATCATATTCCACTGCCATCCAACTGCCCCTTCTCCCATAAAATAATCGGTAAATTTTCTTCTGCAATTTGCAGCCAAAGTAGTGAAGTTGTTACTACCAATTCCACACACTATATCTTGTAATCCCAAACATGCATTTTCATTTCTCCATGAGCCTAATATAATTTGTCCATTTTCATCTTCCCTGTCAACAGAAGAAGGTGGCATGTAAGAATTAGGCGATGTTTGTCGTAGCCAATTGTGAATGGCACATGTAGCTTTGACGATATCATCCACTTTTTCAGGATTTAACAAAATATGTGCTCTGAAAATTCTGAAACGCATTGCCAAAACGCCAAATGCGTTTTCCACGATTCTCCTTGCTCTAGAGAGTCTATAATTGAATACTTTTTCAGAGTTTGATAAGCGACCATGCCTTGAATACGGTTTCATCAAATAATCTTTCAGTGGAAAGGCATCATCTCCAACAATAACCCCCCACTTTGGAAATCCTACTGATCCATTTTCTATTGCTGCCTTCAATGAACTATTCCTAAAAACCGTGCTGTCATTTACACGTCCATTAGATCCAATATCAATATAAGTAAAACAGTAATTGTGATCAACTAAGGCGAAAAGTATGGTGCTGAAATATCCTTTGTAGTTGTAGAAGTCACTGTGACTATTGTTGGGACACTGTATGTTGATATGCTTGCCATCTAGTGCGCCGCAGCATTTTGGAAACTGCCATCTCTCTTCAAAACCTTTTGCTATTGCTGCCCAATCGTTTGTAGATGTAGGCATCTAAAAATAGAAAATTTACTTGTTTAGTTGCAATAATTTGCATTTATTTCTTTCAGTTTGAAGAAATTGCTCAGTACTCTGGAGCCTCGCAATTGGAGCAAGAGAACTATGATGAAACTGAAGTGGAGGCAACATCAAATAAAGGTGAAATGAATGTTAGCCAATCGAATACTCAAGAGTTGAATATTCAAGAATCAGACCCCCTTCGCACCACATTGTCTTCACCAATCAGAGATTTAACCAGGAAGCGACCCATGAACGACAGTACAACAAATGTGCCAACAACTTCACATGGCAGCATGAATCGATCAGCGACACCAAGCATTCCACGAAAGGCAAAACAGAAGGCGTCTAACTCAAAGGATACAGTTCCCCAATATGTCACAAGTGCCATCCAGTCACTGCAGGATCTAAAACGATCCACTGAAAGGACTGAAGATGAATTTTTTCATTTCGGAAATAATGTAGCCAGCCAACTGAGGCAACTTCCACTAGATCTTGCTTTGCATTGCCAGTCCGAAATTATGGCACTGTTAGCAAACCAACGTGTTACGTCGTTGCAGAGGTCACAGTCATTTGTCAATCGCTCACAATTTCATTCTGGACATGCTGAAACACCCATTCCACGATACTCCTCCGAAACTAATAGTACAGATTCTGGGGGGCAATATCAGTTTAGTGATAGGAACTACCAACATTCCCAAGAACCAGATACTATAACTGCTGCCATCAGAAGTATTGGTGGCTTTGATGCATTAAATTAATAATGTTTACTTTCACCTCGTTCACATGTACGTTATAACAATATTATGTATTTTCAGTTGCTTGTTTTTTCTAATACATACTAGAAATAAAGTTGATTTACTTACCTTTATAAAATCTTTCAATCCCTCATATATAGCTTTTAAGACTTCTGGTAGGAACTTGGATATGGTACTCTTTGGAATTCTATACATATGTTCCAATGTGCTGAACGAATCTCCAGTCGCCAAGTAACGAAGAGTAATCTGTAATTTTATTCTTGGCTCTACAGCAGCTCTCATCAAAGTATCTTGCTTTTTAATTAAATGTTCCACCATTGATAACAGTTCTTCAAATTGGTTTGTCGTTAACCTTAGGTGGTTTCTGAACGTCTCTGGATCCTCTAATGCTACTTCTCTGAGAAACGTTGCAGATGCACCAAACTCGTTTCGTCGTTTTATCCACTCCCGAATCCACATTCGTCTAGGACGTCGTTTTTTTATAGCATGCAAATTGTTTAATTCGTCGATTAGTAACTGTGCAACAATAGCAATACCAGCACGCACAATTTCTGCCATTTTGCATTATACTAAAACCAAGCTAGTAAAATTGTGTGTGTCAACAGAACTCGTACGATAGTTCACTCGCACCGAGCGGACTCGGCCGAGCACACTAGCACCGTGTCAACGCACCTTTACGTTCACTTCTTTCATTTTCCTTTCGAATGTAAGTTTCGCTCCTCTATCTGAGCTCTTCACTCTTCATCTTTCCTTGTTTTCTATTCTATGGGACGGGTTTCAGGAGTACTCTATTTCTGTCAGCTCCAGGGGTTGGTCTATTTCTTATTGGGGATTCTCAGATATACCGTAAAATGGGGCAAAGTCGATCACAAAATGTGAGTTTTTCCGTTTTTTTTCCCGCAATTATCATTACTTTCATAACGACACCCCCCTATATCAGTTGCTCATTGCTTTGAGTAACAATTGTGACTAACAACTTTGAGTTTTAATAAATATTAACAATAAAAAAAAATAAATATTTATGGTCGACTTTACCCCACCTTTGGGGCAAAGTCGATCACCACTTGATTTATGTGGAAATCGACTTTAAAACGTAATAGGGGTAATGTCGATCACTATTAGAATTTTAAAAAAAAATTTTCCACCCTTTGAAATGAAGTAGGTACAAAAAATAAACAGTAAATCAGTAAAATTCTTTATTCTAAATTATAATCTGGCATACTAAAATAAAATCTTCCTCTAACAACGCGTTTTAAACAAAGCTTAGAAACAATATCCTCTTTTGCAACAGTTTGTTTGTCTTGTACATGAGGAAAAGTAAAGTAAGTGCCCTTCAGAGTTTGTTTTCTAAAAAAATTAATTGTGAATTCTTGTCCATTATCACTAATATTCGTCACTTCTCCTGCAAAGAATTTTGTTTTCTTGTTGTTTTCACAGAGGAAAGTAACCGCAACATAATCACCAGTGCTAATATTTTTGTCAGCTTGTGGATTATCCGCTTGATTTTCATTTTGGTCCTGCATCTCAGTCGCCATTTGATTTTCTAAGAGTTCTATGTAATTCTCAGGGTCATTTGATTCATTTACCACTTGGTCTTGATTCTCAATCGGTTCAGCCTCTTTGCTGCAACTTGGTTGGTTACCATCAGTAAGATCTTCTGCTCGAATGCTGACTCCGGGTTTCAAGCGTCTTCCCCTTCGTTTTGTTTGCTTAGTCTCAGGAAATCTTCTTTTTTCTAAATGCTCAACTAAAGCATTGGTCCAATGCCCATTTTCAGCAGCGTCTTCACCCACTCCCAAAGGTAAACGCTTCAACACCTGCTCAGGATTGCAAGGCACGATTCCACACGATTTAAACCCAGCCAATATGTTTTCGTGGGATCTAATTCCAACTTCTTCTATGGCCGTTTGTAATAATTTGGGGAATTCCGTTTTAGGAAAAACGCCTCTATTTTTCTCCTTCCACGAATTCAGCACTTTTCTTCAAGCCCCCTTGAGTGGCCTGAAAAATGCTACATCAAGGGGTTGACACAAATGCGTAGAATTAGCAGGGAGTAAAATAAATTTAATGCCATTTTTCTCGCAAATCTGAATTACATGCATTGAAATGTGACTTGACAGGTTGTCACAAATGATAACTTTGTCTCCTTCAAGTCTCCTGAAGTAGGTAACCAGAATTTTTTCCACAAAATCGGAAAATATGTCTCCATCGAACCAACCACTGCTATTCGCACCATAAACAGCATTTGGAGGACCATTAGCACACCATCCAGGGTAAACTTATCGTGCCTTGTATAAAATATAAGGGGGCAACATTTGTCCATCCCCTGTTATAGACATCATTACGCTAACACTTGACTTGGAATGGTCAATCACTCTTTCAGAGTGGCGTGAACCTCTCTTTATGACCACTTTCACAGATCCTGGATCGTCTGTGAAGTTTGTTTCGTCAATATTCACAATGTTTTTTTCAGGGGTATCCTTTATGGTTTGTGCCAGATTGGAGAAATAATCTGCTATAACCTCACGTGACACTTCTGCACGAGCTCTTTTTATATTTTCGGATAATCGGACACTCAAATTTTTATTGTTTTATAAACGTTCGCACCCAATCTGGTCCTGGTTTATTGTCATGAAATCTTTTTTCTGTTACACCTTTTCTGTTGAGATAACTCTGAACAACACTAGCAATGTCTTTTACAGTAAAGGGAAAACCATAATTGCCAAATAAAATTAATGCATCGACCAACTTCTGTTCTTCTGAAGAACTAAGAGCTTTTGGCCTGCCATACTTTCTAGGATGTCTGCCACTAATTCTGTCATTGAGTGTACTGTAAGGAACTGCGTATATTTCGGAAGCTTTTCTTATAGAACATCCCTTTTGTTTGACCTCCCTTATGGCACGTTCCATGTATTTTTCGTCATAGTTTTTTTTGCCCTCTGCTCCAACTTTTTTTTTGTACGTGCGGACCATTTTTACGTTTTATACTGGACTAACCTATAAAATAAAGAATACTGACGTAGGTAGGTAGGTAGGTACCTACTTAAGATGAAGTTAAACAATTTACTAACAGTAAACCGGTATTGGGGACATTAAACAAAAGTGATCGACTTTTCCCGTTTATAGACAGAGATAGAATTTTGTTTGGGCATACAAACTATTTAGGAACTATTCTGTAATTGTGCGATAGTAAGTGACTCAGTAATAACATAAGTCATGCAGGATTTATCGTAAAAAGCAATTAATAAAAATTTGTGAAACTTACAGGGGCCATACACATCACCACACAAAAAATATGCCAACTTGCGTTTTACTAATTAAACTTTTTATGCAGCAAACTTGTCATCTAACCGTTATAAACGTACGCATGCACTTTAGCACGTATTTCACGATGCCCGTTATGGCGGCGATATGGGTTGCCAACTTAAACCTACCATTTAGCGCGAAATTTAAATTTGACAGTGCTTCTGATCGAAATTTACCCACTTGATCGACTTTGCCCCTACCCATCTGCCACGAGATACGAATATCACAAAATGTACAAATGCCAACACAACAACTTTCATAAAGTAAAGAAAAGGAAACGAGACAACACTAGAATACGCAGCAAAAGCTGTGATGCAAACATAGACTTTCTGTTTAAGAAAATTAATAGAAATACAAGAAAAAATGATAAATATTTGTCAATGGGATACAATGGAATTATTACAGTAAGTAACAATTAGTAAATGTAATAGCACATATTATTATAGTAACAACTCTTTGTACTTACACAGATCGTTTTCAAACATACACAGGCATTCAGTTATCTACGCATGTCTTCAGAAACGAGAGATAAATTCCTACAATATTTTAATGAAGGGATGACGCCTGCCACGGTAAGAAATTACCATGAAATGATGTTGGAGAATTGTACAGTTTCAATAGATCTTTCTTTAACGTTAGCTAATGTACAAGTTAACCCAACTGAGCGCCAAGTCAAGCATTTGTATAACAATTGGCGGTAGGTACCTACCTACTTTAAGTAAAAACGAGTTACCTTACGGTGTTTTCTAATATATAAAATTTTTATTTTAATCTAATATACACAATGGAAAACTTCATCAAACCTACTTTAAGTACTTTTAAGTATAAAATTGACTACTGATTGTTACAGAAATACAAATTTTGGAGGACGAAATGAATTAGCACTCTTGAAACTTTAAAGATAAAACAGGAGATATATAGCCAGCAAGGAATCTCAAGAATCGTAATCAAAGAGAATCCGCTAATTGTCCCCGTGTTAACACCTATAATGATGCGGGCACACAAAGATTTGTTGATTCAAGTGGCTCCTGTGACCAAACAAATACGTGTCACATTTTTGTTTAGTGCTTCCAAAATTGGAGCCATTACGTTAGCATGCATTTTGCATACAGCACAAACAGAAGCCAATTACACTTTAGCGTTCAGTTTACTAAAGGACAGCCTTGGAGAGGAGGGACACGTAACTGCGTAACTCCAGTCCATTATATTACAATAAGAAAACTGCGTAACTGTCATTACCGTCATTGTTTCGTTAAGGTTAAGATCACGTTCTGTGTTTATTTCACTTTATTTGGTGTTTAGTTGATTGTTTGTTACATCTTTTTGTGCGAACAGGTATGTAAAGTTTAATTTTAATAGTTTCTACTGAATCCAGTAATTCTGTAGCTGTTAAATTGCCATTTTATGTAAGTTAAATTATTACTGGAGTTACGCACTTTTCCTGATTGATGTTTTGGGTAGTATAATGGAACTTACGCATTCGACGATTTTTCAGAGAACCCTGACAAACGCAATCACGATGTCATCGTGTCATCTACAAACGAAGTTACAACACTTGCACAAATTATCGAAGAGGCGGAAGTCGTCTTTCAGGACGACATTGATCACATTGCTAAATTAGACCCGATACGTTTAGTGGAGAGTGGGGTAAGAGTGAAACGTTAAGACTAAAATCATAGTAAAAATTTAATAGGAAACTCAACCAGCTGTTGGGGGATACAAAATATGATGGGTACACTATAATGGTACATAAATGTAACTTGAAACACAAACTTTCTAACTTCAAACTTTTACAAAAAAACATTTTCTTCTTACAAGCAACTGTCACTCTTACCCTACATATTGGGGTAAGAGTAACAACAAATTATGCCCGACAAAAGTCACATATGTAATTTTTTTCCTGGGCTCGAAATCTGTGCAATCCTCATGTGCCCAATTTTTGCATACGGCGCACATAATGATCTCTTGATCTGGAGGTTCTGCCAATTGTTCTTTGCATATTAAGCAAAAATGTATGGGAATATCATCGTCCGAGGAAGAATCCCTGATGCTCATTTCATCAGACATGTTTGAACTTGATGATGATGCAGTTCGTTTATATTTTTTTGATTTTTTCGCCTTTTTTGTTGGTTTCGAGATGGAAACAGATGGTTTGGTACCAATCGACTTGGTAATAGACTTTGTACCATTGTCACTGTCCAGTTTTTTACTTGCTGCTTTCCTCTTTTTTCCGTCAACATTCTGTGGACTTTCCAGAGCATCTTTATAAGGAGTGCTCGTTAATATATCGGATTTCTGAACTTTACGTCCCTTCTCCTGTCCAGAACGCGTTGCAATTGGCAGCGGAGAAATTTCCTCCACTCTAGATAATCTTGAAGCTTTTGTAGAGCAGCTGCTAGGAATCTCTTCTTGTGGTTTTTCGTTGTTTCGTGTCGGTGTATTCAGATAGCGTTCCAATGGATTTTCATCTCCTGGAGGTGGCGTGGTCTCCCGTGGTTGCTCTCTATCTGGTGGATGAGTTTCAATGGTATTTTCGGAATTAATGATATTTTCCTTATCCTTATCATAAACATTCACATAGTCAACTTCGGTGAATAATTCATTATTAAAAGGCCATATGCCAGTCGTTTGAAAACCTTTGATGGCGTTGTTCATAGTTGCGGCTTTTAGGTAACCCTTGTTGAAGAGCTCTGCGATATCATACACACTAATTCGTTTCCCAGGATTATTTGTCATGAATCTTGAGCACTCCTGATTATAAAATATATTCAGTGGCCCAAAAAAGGTGCGATCTAGAGGTTGCAACCTGTGGCTTGTGTGGGGAGGAATTGTGAGCAATTGTATTCCTAACTCTCTCGCCTTTAATATAGCTGATAAAGTTTTGTGGCTGGCATGGCCATCTAGGATGAGCAAAACAGGGTTTTCAGGACTACAGTGTGAGTAAGTAGCGAAATGACGCAAATACATAATAAATCCCTCTTGATCCATCCATCCAGATTGAGTGAGGTGTGAAACTGAATTAACTGGAGCCCCTCTCATCAGTTGATCGTTTTTTCTTTTTCTTGCGAATATAATCATAGGGGGATATATTCTCCTGCTGCGCTCATTGCGCAAACTATTGTAGTAGTTGTACCCCGTTCAGCTGAAGTGAGCCGTCCGACTTGCTTTTTTCCTTTTTCACTAATGATTCTTTCTGGTGTGTGAACATTGGTGATTCCACTCTCATCCATATTGTAGATTCTAGAGCTTTCGAATTTGTATTTGTGGAGAAGACACTGTAATTTCGAATAAAATTCATTTACTTTTTTTTTGTTGAAACCTAATATTCTGTTGAGACTCGTGGCTTCTTCTGGCTTCCGTAAAGATAGCTGTTGATTTCGACGGAAAAATCCATCTATCCAGTCTTTTCCTGCCAATTTCTTCTCTCGGTTGAATCGATGATGATATTGTTCACCTCTGCAAAATCATACGCCAATTTTCTGAGAGTTCGAATATTGAGACCATAAAATAATCGATCCATTTTAATTATATATTCACATACCTAGCTCTTTTTCTTGGTCTGGGGTGAAAGTTGGGGAAAATCGTCCCAAGTTCAAAGGAGTAGCATTCTTTTTCAATCTCTTGATTAATGTGGATCTTGGGATGTTGTATACTTTGGCTACAGATGCCTTACTTTTCCCATTACGTATTTCAGAAAGAGCTCTTTGTAATGTTTCCTCAGAATAGGAAGCTCGATCACTCTTTCTGATGTAATTCCGCGGCATTTTTCTTCCTGGATAACGAACACAAATTGGTTAGTGTGATGAGCGATAGCAAGTGTGGGGGTAAGAGTGCCATATGTCATTCTTACCCCGCTATGAACATGTCACTCTTACCCCCGAACGCATTGCATCTAAAAAGTGTTACAATCTACACAACACATTCTTAACCTAACTTTCAAACGTTGAAAATACGAACTATGCATGCTTTTTAGCCTAGAATCAAATGAAAATATAATAAATATGGTCATAATACATATATGGGTCGTCAAAAATATGGAATATTATAAGATTCGAGCTTGAAAACACAAAACCTGGATAATTTAATAATAAGAGACAAATGAAGAAGGAACTTCCAGGAGCAACGAAAATGTAGAAGATGAATTATTACCAACTGTTAATGAGGGCGAGCTCGACAATGCGGAGGCAAAGGAAGAAGAACCTCTAAGGAAGAGACGAAAACACTGTGAAGTGGATAAAAGCACATGGAAGGTTATGAAAAATAGAAATAATCGCGAAAAATGGAAAGATTATGTGGGAAGAAAGAAAGTTGAGGGAAGGTGGAAGTATGATATAGTCAAGAGTGAAAGACGGATGAAAGAAAACTGTAATTGCAAATCATTTTTATTTCCTCTAAAAATTTGGCTTCTAATCTTTTCCAGCAATGATGTTTCGATGTACTTGGTGCTCGCTTCAAGCAAAACTCTCGCACCAACTTCCTGTGCCCATAAGCTTGTAATAGTATTTTACATTATTAGCCAGGTAAGTGAGTTTTTACTGGCGATAGGAGAAGTTGACTCGCAAGCCGTCAAGCGAGCCTGTCATCTCCTAGAGCCAGTAAAAACTTTTACCTGGCGTATAATGTACAATATTTTATTTGTTACTCATTTGTAAACAATAGTAAACGTAAATAATTAGTTCTTAAATTGATCTCGAAGAAATGTCTAAAATATCATGTTATCCATGTAACAGACTTCGCATTAATTCTGGCCAATGAAATTACTAGATTACTAACTTGTAAAATTTTTACAGGTCTGCTGTCAGTTTTACAAGTCAGTAGCGTTTAAACATGACGTTTACCCGTTTGCGTTTTGACTTGTTAATCAACGTTTACAACTGAGTAACAAATAAAAATGTTTTCAGACAGACATCAAATTAATGACTTCTTCAGAAATCTTAAAAAAAAACATTTGTTAGAATTGATTTGTGGGAAGGAATGAAGTAAAGTATGTTAATGGTCCTAATATTTTGAGTTTTAATGCATATAGATTCAACAAGTACCTAACTCTTTATTAAATGTATCCATAAGTACCTAATACAAACCTGATGTGCGATCATATTTTGAACGACTTCCTCTGGCACATTGTGCCGTCTCAAAAAATCTTCTAGCTCTGACATATTTTCTCAAACCATATAGTTGCGGATCATAAAACTGAAACTAAATGATGGTGCTTAATGTGCGTTCAAACTAGACTCCACTCGATACTATCACCGAACATAAAATAAAGTACAAATTGAACATTCACTTTAGGGCGGCGCGGCGCTTTGATTTCACTGAATCAAAGGGTCAATGCCTTACCGGTTACCGCCCAGAGCTATGCGAATGATCAACTGGTCAATTAACATTTTTTGTAAAATTCCTGATTGAAATATTTGAAACTAGGGCGATGGTTAAAGAAAATGTATTATATTATTTTTTTTTTTTATTTAACAAATTTAAGGTGCATCAATTACAATGATTATTAGCACCGTCTGTTGAAATAAATGTTACAATAGGTCAATGATATTTATATTTTTTAGAACGTTTATAAGATTTTGCGTATGCTGAGAGTATAGTTGTTCATTGTTGTCTGGTATGTTGTGGTTGAGCCGTTCTTGTGTATATTTCTTGCCCTTTAATATGATGTGGTCCACAGTTTACTGTTACATTGCATACTTCACAGATGGGTTGATCTGTGCGGTTCAGCAGGTAGTTGTGCGTAATATTAGTATGCCCTATTCTTAGCCTTCTTAGCAGTACTTCATCTTTTCTTCGAAGATGTGTATATGTCGTTCGATTTATCGTTTTTTCGAAAGTTTGTAGTACGGTCGCTTGTAGGTTCCAGTGCCTATTCCATTTTTGTTTGAGCTGGTTTTTGTATTTTGCTTTTAGGTCGTTGGCCAGAAGAAAGGTCTTTACTAGTTGACAGCTAGTAGCACCATCGCGCGCCGCAAAGTCGGCTTCTTCGTTGCCTTGTATGTCGCAGTGTGAGGGAGTCCATATTATTATGATGTCCACTGATTTATCTTTAAGTTTGGTGATCGTTTCTTGGATTTCTTGTATGATTGGATTGCTGCTGTACATTTGGTTTATTGCAACGATTGATGATAGACTGTCTGTGCAGATGACTGCTTTTCTAATGTTGACGGTAAGAGTTGGTATGATTTGGATTGCTTTCTTTATTGAATATAGTTCTGCTGTGAATACGCTCGTATCGTCGTTAAGTTTGTAAATGTGTTTTAAGTCATTTCCTACCACTGCGCATGCTACTCCGGAAGAACTTCGTGAAGCGTCGGTATACAATGCTACGTCATGTGGGTGTTTGTGTAAAATTTCGCTGAATATTTGTTGTGTTTTAGCTGTTTCATTTTTCTCGTATGAACGCATTGAGGAGTCTATTGTAGGAAAGGTTATGAGCCATGGAGGGATACTTGCTTTATAGGTGTTGGTGCTGTGGACAATTTGTAGAGATGACGGGAGAATGTTGTGTATGATATAATTTATGGGGTGTGGTTGTTTTGGGAGTTGATTTGATTGTTCGAATAATATTTTATATGATGGTAGATTAGGTAGGGCCGATATTTTTGAAATATATGTTAAAGCGATTTCTTCTCTTCTGAGCCACAACGGTGGCACTCCTGATTCGCGGTAGATACTTTCTACAGGGCTTGTACGGTGTGCTCCTATGTTAGATACCTACGCATTCTTTTATCCACATTAAAAAAAAATAAGTATGGAGGGTTTATACAATCATTAACTCACTAATTCATTATCATTTCATTAAGGTATACGCAAACCTACGCGGTCGCGGTGGCGGTAGCGGTGGCGAACGTGAGGCCGCACACTAGGGCGTTCAATCCGCGAGATCACATGTTTTTTTACGCACACTACCAATTGATTTAAATATGGCATTTGAAGTACGGGATAGATTTGTTTCTTTTTTTAATGCCTAACAATGTACTAAAACTATAAACAAATACACTTATCTTGACCAGGTTTGTCCAGTATCATGGCCAATTCATCCCATACCTTATCTTTCTTTTTTATATTTTTATACTCCTTACATGTAACGTCGTATAAAATTGGATTTCCTCTCACTAACTCAATTAGTTGTTCTGTCATTTTCTTTCGAGGCATGCAGCGCGAACTGGCGGGCCAACTGTGAGTGCAGCGGTCGCCCGCCACCGCTCTAGATCGCCGCGTTTGTTTGCTGCACTGATCTCCACCGCCACCGCTTGAACGCTTCAGTATGCGTTGCCTGTATAAAGTGTGTGCATTCTATTGCCCGCCACCGCGTAGGTTTGCGTAAACCTTTAGTCATTAAGCAAAACCTCAGTTTATACAATCGCTAAATCATTAAGAAATAGCCAATAGAAACAGTGGTCTTTGCACATGCGATTTACAACATTTTGTACGTTCACCGCACTAACCTCAATTTTCTTCTTCGATTTCTAACCCTATTTTTTATAATTTTTATTGTCCGATTTTGATTTTTTTAATAGCTTGTTATTCTTAGCCTTCTTTTGCCTAAGAAGTATGGATCAGGTTGAAATATTTGCGACATTTTTGGTATTAACCATGACGGCTTATTTGCATTTAAGAAAACAAAGAATACGAAGGTATAAAGTGCGGCCTATAAACAGAGTACGTTTTTTGCATGGACATTTCCATCAACGTGTCAGACAAATGAGGGAAGTAGACCCGGAGCAATATTTTAAGTTTGTCAGAATGACGCCTAATATGTTTGATCATTTACTGTCCATACTCAAAACCGACTTGCAAAAGGATCGAAGCAAGTTTCATATTTCACCTGCTGAACTGACAATCGTCAGGGGGTTTATGCAGATGTTCATACAAAGACGTCTATTGATTCCCACAATCATATATCGTTCTCTCACTTATTAACACGTTTCGTCCTTAGTTTCTCGTTAACGACATCAAGACTTCTTTAATATATCGGTTCAAATTTGCCCCGTAATTATTAGTTAACGTCAAGCGCGCACATAATGATGCCATCACGCTCAAAAATTTCTATAAAAAAAAAATTCTGGACGCGAACCTAAGATCAACATTTTAAATCAAACTTGTATAAAACCACAATAACCTCACGGTGGAACCGGGGGAAAAAAACGTGGTAAACAAAGCGGTGGTGAATTCGTGCCAAATGGATTCGGCTTCCCAAATATTGATCGATGACAATTTAAGTGTCATCACAATCAATTCTGATGATCCAACGATTGGGTAAGTATACAATATTCTTTATATTTGATATCTTTTTGTGAGTGTACGTTAAAAGAGTAATTGTTTTGCTTTGTTTTTTTTACAGAACAGGAAATTTGGGTGTTAACTTTGAGCTAGAGACGCTTATGGCGCAGCTAGAAGGGCATCTTGCTGCAGACTGTCTTTTTGCTCCAGCTCTGCGAGTATATTATCTGCCAATAAAAAAAAATGAACTAATGCTTCATACGATAGCTCAAATTTTTTTCTTTACCCTTTTCAGAATGTCAACACCCCAATTGTCTTAGCCGATGCGATCCCCTACACCGCCGCCGCCGCCATCACCAATACAACCATCAACAGCAACAATGGAGTCCTCAGTCGTAAATAAAAAAGGCCAAAAACGACGGTAAGTTTTTACCAACAATTTCACATAGTAACATTCTATCGATGGCAGACATGGCTACGGCAAAGCAGGGATGACCCAGGGGGTGGCCACAATAAAATCTTATTGAGATTGACCTAGAGGAAAGGGGATTCCGCCCGGAAAGGCCCTTCTCGTCTCCATCGTTTGCGGCGGCACCAAAGACATCGAGAGAATTGGCCCTGAAGACATATCAATATCAATGTCCCCGATCATAGAACGAGAAGGAAATTCACAATGTTTGAAATCCCTAGAGTACGTTCAAAAACGCATGACAATTCACCAATTAACCGCATGATGACGTTGTACAATGATTTGCACAAAGTTCAAACGAACAACTTGCACTTGTTTGGCCTGTCTTTATCGCAGTTTAAGGAAAATTTAGTTTTATGTTTATAAAAATATTATTTACTTACTTCACTTGTTTTTATCAGATAGTTACTTGTATACGTATTTTTTAGTCACAATCATTGTTCTCAAAACTTTATATGGAATGTTATTTCTGTTGTTTTGAGCAAACACCTAAATAAATAAATAAATATGGGTGGTTAAAAAATATGGAACCGATTTACCGGTCTAAAGTGATGGACGCTCGCAAATCACAACAGCAGACTTACAGCACCGGCTAGATGCTTCTATAAAAGAAGAAAAGCGGTTAGAGAAAGAGGTCCAATTCATTGACGATTTCATAAAATTTGTAAAAAAATAATACGTGTATACGTCAATTAATAAAGAGATAATCTGTTTATTAATTGTTGTTGTGTGTGTGGTTCAAGATGATGGTGAAAAGGTTTAAGACAAAAAAAACGACGTTAGCCAGGTAATTAGTTGGGGGAATGTAAAACAACCAAAAACAAACTTTGCAGTCGCCAAAAATGGACGAACGCATGTTCTAATCAAAGACCCCTTACAGTAGTGCGTACTAAGTTGCATATCAAGAAGGCACGTGAAAGAAAACACGATGATTTTATTAATATGGTTATAAAATTTGAAAAGAGAAGATTTGTTCATTCATTTAATATAAAGCTCCTTAAGCGAAGAATATCTAAAAAGTAATAGACTACAGATTTCACATTATCTTTTGATGTCATCAAGAAAATATGAGGTTTTCACAGTTACTAATAATTTCCGTATCCCAGGTTAGACCCTGGCGAAGTGGCTCGCACTCAAAGAATACATGCTGGAAAGATTATACTGAATTACTGTTACAGATATTGCATGCCTGTAAGATCTATTATTTAAGTAACACCATCAAAAGTTGCTTTAAACCTTCGTGTATTTGAGGTCCTAATTTGGCACATAAATTTAATATATTTAAAAGCTAAATTGTTAAAAAGGAGATAGTTTTTTGATTTACCAGAATTTATAAATTTGTTGTAAAAAAAAAGGGAAAAGCTAACGTAGCATATATATATATATATATATATATATATATATATATATATATAGCGGTCTGTATGTCGTTGCATTCCGTGGCTATTCTGCTTCCAGGGGGGATAGTCGATCAGTGATCTTAGCGACGGGAAGGTGCGGACGAAAACCAGATTTCTCCACCAACCCAACCCTTTCTCTCTTGTGTTCTAAACTTTGTTACCATGTCTTCCAACCTAGCTTTTGTCGATGAAGGTGAGCTGCGGGGGGAGCGCCCTGTTACCAGGTGGGCTCTCGGCTGCAGCGGGGGGAAGAAGCGTGCTCCGTCAGTGACCAGATTCACTGGCCTGGCAAAGCGCGCCGCCCTTTTTAGGGCGTCTTCCCCATTCGAGCCCCCTCCTCCTTTTACCAAGGTTGAGGGGGACTCCTCCTCTGCGGGTTCTCAACACAAGGAGGATAAGGTGGGGATTCCACCCCCACCTTCGCCTCCTTTGGCGCGCAGACTGCGAAGCAGTAAGCGCCCAAAGTTGGCGTATTTACAAGAGGTGCCTGCCCAATTAGCCTCCCTCCCACCTAAACGCAGGAAGGGCGCTAGTGTCCACCTCTCTGACGACGTCATATATATATATAAGATGGACCCTTCAAGGGAAGTAATTTTCGAATTTAATAAATACTCCAGCCTGACTAAACTTGAAAAAATAATAGCGTATTGTCTGAGATTTAAACACAACTGCTTAAATGGTAAAGAAAAGAGATTTTTCGGACATTTGTCAAAATCGGAGATGGATAAGAGTCTAAATTGTTTGCTCTTGATTTCCCAAAAGCAAAGTTTTCCCGGGGAACTCCGTTGTCTGCAAAATAAGCGCCCATTGGCTTCAAAAAGCCCATTATTAAGTTTTAATCCTTTCATAGACCAAGCAGGATTACTTCGGGTAGGTGGGAGAATAACTCAATCAAATGAAACTTATAATAGAAAACACCCAATAATCATAGACGGTAGAAACGAACTGTCAAAATTAATCTTTATGCGAGAGCACATTCGATTACTGCATGTTGGGCCCCAAACCTTACTATATAGCGTAAGAGAGCGATTTTAGCCTACAAATGGTAGGAACATTGCGCGACATACGGTACATAAATGTTTAAAATGTTTTCGCGTTTCTCCAATCAGTAATACCCAAATCATGGGCAGCTTGCCGGCAGACAGAGTCACTAAACACTTTCCTTTTTCTGTTGTTGGCGTTGATTACGCTGGCCCACTAATAATTAAAGACAAGAAAGGAAGAGGCAGTAAATCGTCAAAATGTTACGTTTGCGTATTTATTTGTTTTTCCGTCAAGGCGGTGCATATAGAGGTCGTTAGTGACCTAACAACAAATTCATTTTTAATGGCTTTGCGACGATTTGCTGCCAGACGTGGTAAACCAGCTAAGATTTACTCAGATAATGGCTCGAACTTTGTTGGTGCCAACAACAAATTAAAGGATTTTCTGGCATTCATCAAATCAAACAATGCAGACATTAGTAATTCTTGCGTAGACGAAGGCATTGAATGGCACTTTATCCCTCCCAACTCTCCCCATTTTGGCGGGTTATGGGAGGCTGGCGTAAAGAGCGTGAAGAGTCATCTGCGGAGAGTGGCTGGAAACGCATCCTTAACGTTTGAGGAGTTAAACACGCTCCTTGTGCAGATCGAGGCAGTATTGAATTCACGCCCTCTTTCTCCTCTCTCTTCCAACTCCCAAGACTTATCCGCATTAACACCCTCACACTTTCTCGTTGGACGACCGCTTACGGCAATCGTTGAGCATGATCTCACAGCAGTACCTAGCAATCGACTTCAGCGTTTCGAGCACATCCAGCAGATATTGCAACATTTTTGGCGCAGATGGCAGAGGGAATATCTGTCTGAGCTACAAGAGCGCAAGAAGTGGAGATCCAATATCGGTGATCAACCCAAGGTGGGTCAACTAGTTCTAATAAAAGAAGATGGACAGCCCCCTCTACAGTGGAAGTTAGGCAGAATAGTAAAACTTCACAGCGGACGGGACGAAATTACTCGAGTTGTAACACTGAAAACTGAGCACGGGGAAATGCAGCGCTCAGTAGCCAAGCTGTGTCCACTTCCAAATCAATCGCCATCAGCATCCTAGGGCTCTTAAGGAGCTACAACGCAACACTAGTGCTTCGAGTTCAAAGTGCTTGTGCCAACCTTTTGTTTTTTTTGTTGTCTGTCAACATTTTGTAAATGTAGTATGAACTTGATTTCAATAGCAAGTATACGGAACATTACTTTGCAGCATGTTTTTTTTTTATTTTTAAATTTTATATTCAAATGTAAGAAGAAATGTTTATTTGCAGTGTTATGTATTAGCCAATTTAATTGGGATATGTGTTTGGTTACCTTATTAAATGTATCACAAACATTTGTTAGTGTTAAAACGCTCAATACGTTTTAAGGCGGCCGCTATGTTTAGGCCAAAGCAATATTTGAATTGCGCGCCTGCGCGCGGTCATTTTTGTAATGTATAGTTTGCGCGCTTTGTAGCACTTATGTTTAAGACTGCATGTGAGCAAGCACGTTTAAGTATGTATTTCAATGCAGTGCAATAAATGTGAAATAAGTCGTTTAAATCGAAGTAGTTTTACTCAACGCTTCGCAACACGGTTATCATTTCCAATGTCTCCGATGGTTGCAAGGAGTGAGAAATCTGTGAATTTTTTGAAATGATAAGTAGGGTAAAGTATACAGTTATTGGCTCCACCTAAGGAGACACCTTCACTTTTTTTGCTGTATTATCAAATTTCTAGAGTAAGTAAACCTGTTTTAATTTTTATTGTGTACTTTACCAATTCTATTAACAAAAATTGTAAAGGTTTTTCGATTTTCTGTAACGACTGCAGAGAAAAAAAAATATTTTTGAAGGCCTGCAAATATTATTGTTGTTGGCCGGGCAAGTACAGTTATTGGCATAGACTTAAACACAATTGGGTGCTGCTTTAGCGTGCGGTCTACCGATAGGATGCGCTCTACCTGTACAAATACAGCCACTAGCGTGCGGTCTACCAATCGGGTGCGATATATTAACACTTTATATACCACAAAGTTAAAGTATTTACTCCAGTACATACAAAAGTTAAGTTCCTCCACCACTTGATCTATGCGAGAACAACAGTACATACCCCAGTTGCGGATTAGAAAGCAGTCAAAAAGCCAGGAAAATAGTCATATAACAAAGTTACAGTATTTTATTTCAGCAGATACAAAAGTCAAATTCCTCCACCACTTTATCTATATACAACAAAGTTACAATGTTATTTAATTACATACAGGCGTTACTTGTTTTATTTAACTTCCTTTATGAAATTTGGGCAAAATGAATGAAATTAATGAACGTGACAATAACATTCTGTTAATAAAACGAAGAATTAGGCGGGAATTGATGGAGATTTCGCGGCTTCTAGAATGCGGTCCCTGTGATATCTTACAACGGTTGCAGTAGTGTGACGTTAATTTAAACAGAATTAGAGAGGGATTAAATGAATCCAGTTACATAGCAATATCTGATTGCATCAATGAATTAAAGAATATGTGTGTCACTGAAATGTCATCGTCTTATAATGCTGATACCATAAGTGGAGGTAAGTTATTATAATACAGCAAATATATTTCTTAAGCATATGGATATCTGATTTTGGGGGAAGTCTGTTTCTTAAAATTAATGTTGGTCTATTTACAAGAAATCATGAACTTCTCACATTCTTTTTTTCACTTGTTTAAAATTGTAAATTTGTCAACTATGGCTCAACTCAATTTTTTTTTGTTTCAGACAAAGGACGACCTTCATTCAATATAACATATTCACAATTAAAACTTTTTCACGAACAGGGTTGGTTATACAGCTCGAAAAATGGCAAATCATTTTAAATGCAGTGTCGCAACTGTATATAAAAGATGCTATAAATATGGAATACACTTGAGAGACCGATACAGCAATAATTTGACAGCAGAGGAATTGATAACAAAAATTGGAGATCTTCAAGAAAAATTCCCTAATGCTGGTAGTGTTGTAAGTATTGATATATATCATTTCACTTCGTAAAGGAGGTCATATGATGCGATGGACATAATGGATGGATCTGCAGTCATGATGATTTTAGCAAGTTTACTACCTATTGATTTTTGAACGTGTATTTTTGGTTAAAAATTGTATTTTTTGATCACTTTTAAGTGAAAAATGCTTTATACTCTTTTGCCCAACATTGTCGATTGTGTCAGAGATCCCCTTTACATGTGGTAAATTATATAAGAAACTGTAGACTTGAAATTTTACAAACTATTGGAAACCTGCCTTTGATACTTTACTATAATATGCACACATTTGGTAGAATGGTGGGTGAGATTGATTTACATATCTCAATAAAGGATAATTTTAAAGTAGGTAGTGGAACTTTCAGTTGTTAAATACAATGCCAATTTGCACTAGGTAGTTGCAATAAAAGGTAAGATAGCTAGCGAAGAATGTTAAATACAAACCTCTTAGGGTTTTTAGAAATCTATTACACTGCACATAAATTAAGTATACAGGATCAATCAAAAAGCGATGGAAGAACAAATTTATTTATTTATTTATAATTATTCAAATTTATTTGAAAACAATATTCGACATTCGATATCTGGAAAACGGTTAAGATTGGGTATGTAGTGTGCTTAACATTTTTTTTAGAATCTTGTAAATAATTGAAATATTGAATAATATACAGGGGGTTCCATTTAAAATAAAGTAACTTTGTTCTTGCATGGCTTTTGCATGATCTTGTATACTTAGTTTATGTGCAGTGTAATAGATTTCTAAAACCCTAAAAGTTTTGTATTTAACCATTGAATAATATATTCAATGATTTAACATTCGTCGCTAGCTATCTTACTTTAGCAAATAATCGACCGTTTCCATACATAAAAGCGACCCTGTATGTTGATGAGTATTACAATGAAAACAGATAATCTATTCTTGGGGAATACCTTTCTAATTCCAAACTGAAAAATTTCAAGTCAATAGTTGTATATAGCCACATCTTTGTGGTACACATACAGTAGGCAATAGAGATATAGTTAATATAAGTAATTGTTTTGTATCTAAGATGATGGCAGGGTATTTAAAATCGGAAGGTATAGTTTTACAAAGACAAGAAATTAGAAACTTATTGAACAATGTCAATCCTCTTGCTGCTGGTAAACGTTGGAGTCGATCGATAAAGAGAAGAGTATATAAAGTTCCTACTCCGAATTCTCTTTGGCACATGGATGCACACATGAAGCTTTCTAGGTGGGTGAATATTGTAGTTAATATTGTTGTGTAGTTTCATGTTTGTTGTCACACTTTAGATGGGGGTTAGTCACACATGGATGTATAGATGGTTATTTCCGTGTTATAATATATGTTCAGTGTGAATCATCTATCACTGCTTCTACAGTGCTGAAATTATTTATCCCTGCTGTGAAAAAATATGGACTTCCATCACGTGTACGCTCGGACCATGGATTCGAAAACTTATTTGTGGCAATATTAATGAACTCACTTAGGGGGCTTAGAAGAGGGAGTCACATCACTGGCAAGTCGGTACATAACCAACGTATCGAAAGACTGTGGGTAGATGTGTTTTCTCAAGTTGTTACAAATTTTTATAACTTGTTTTATAAAATGGAGGAAGACAATATTTTAGATCCTGCAAACAATATTCATCGTTGCATTCTACATACAATTTTTTCTCCTTTAATTAATAAGCAGTTAGAGCAATTCAAAAATGCGTGGAATAATCACAAAATTCGCACAGAGCATAATAGGACGCCTAATGAAATATGGGTACATGGTTTTTTACAAAACATTAATTCAAACCAAACTGCCATTACCGAATTAACACAAAACGAGCTTCCACTTCAATTACGTCTACAGCAACAATATCAAGATCAATATGGCTTAACTGTCTCAGCCATTGCTGAAGACGTAAATTTATCACAGAATTCATATTCTTTTACAGTTGATCAACAACAATTTATAAATAACATTATTAATGATTCAGAGATGACCAACAGAAATAAATTTATATCTTGTGTCGAATACCTGAACAATTTTAATTTCACTTGATTGCATGAACACTTGTAACATGTGAGTAGAAATATGGAAAGTATGATATTTAGTTTTTTTTGTAGGATGTGTTTTTGTAGTTTAAATAAGAATAATTTATTATCTGTATAAAAATCATTTAAATTTTACGCTTGCATACTGTTGTTTGTAATATATCGAAAGTTTTTCTTGTCGTATAGTTATAAGAATTTCTAATATTTCCATTTCAGTAAAGGCGTAAAGTTAAATTTAGTTAAGCGTAGTGTAGCATAAACTTAATGTATTGAGAGTAAAAAATAAACTTTGTACACACATGGCCAGGAGGCATATTAATCTTTTATTTTGAAAATTTGTGTCAAGGTGTTTGAAAAAAAAAATTTGATATTTCCCTTGTAACCAATGCAGTTACACAAAAGCTATGGGTGGTGTGGCCGAGCAGTAAGTGAAAATACTAATAGTGGTATTTTCATATATAATAAAAGTGCTTGGAATCTTGCCAGTAATTTTCGGCCAGACCACGAATAGCTGTTACAATGAAAATCGGTGCGACTGCCGATTTTCCAAAGGCAACAGCTACGAGTGGTCTGGCCGATAAAAATTACCAAAAGATTCCTAACACGAGTTGTATTCGTCATGACAATTCAATGAAAGTTGTATTTTCGCAGTGACAATACCAGATTGGATAAGCAATTTGAAATCGTTGCGTCTTATTGGTCAAAATGTGACATTTGTCAGATGAGTTGAATTGTCAATTATAATATCACAAGAGCATACAAAATAATCGATTATACTACCGAATAACGAGACGAATGATCCGAAACACCACGAGACCGAAGGTCGAGTGGTGTTTCAACGGATTATTCGTCGAGTTACGAGGTAGTATAAAAATTATTTTGTAATGCTCGAGTGGTATTCGACACGATTATATACTGAATAGAATTTTATTTTGACAGTTATTGTTATTAAATATAGTGTATACTAGATTTATGACTTTAAATGACATAGCGAAAACACCAAATCGATTATATTACGTCGTCAAGGGTATAATCGCTTATTAATGCATTGGTATCTAAGGAAAGTGGAAGTTTTGATTGGCTCAATGTCGTATGAATGATATAATCGATGTAATACCGTTCTGATTAGATAAGCATAAGCGATTTGAAATTGTTGCGTCTTAATGGTAAAAATCAGTTGAATATAACCACGAAATTTGAAGCATGCATTTTTGAATTAGTGGCATTATGTTAAATATCTACATACATAAATATTAGCATAGCAATCGAGAAGGTTTAGGGTTAATCCTACATAATTAATTTCACTACATTTATATTATGTATAATAAACAAGAACAGATTAATTTTAACAAATAAAACACTCGTATACATATACATACATGAACATAAGTAACAACTATTTCTAGAAGTTTTTCGATTAAAACTAAAAATAACAAATAAAACCAAAATGTGTAATAATATATCCACTAGCTACCAGTTTTGTCGCTTAACATTATAGTAGTGTTAAAGCTGACTATACTGATATGAATATTCTGATTCAAGATACATATTCAAGTTTCTTTTGAATTCTTGATAGTTATTATAACAAACAGACAGTTCTAATGTATTAGAACAAGTATGACTGATTGGTCTTATTAAAAGACCAGAAACAGTAATAAAATTTAAGTTAATTTTTTCAGGCAAATGATACGAACCAGTAACAAAAAATACAAACTGCTGTAAACTTTCAAATGTTAAGGCTCTAATATATGTTTGAAGATAATATAAAATTTTTTCTTGGTCATTAGTCAAAAATTCGTTTGCAGTTACAATGGCTTGGATAACGTTCTCATTTGTTATTTTTTGATTTAAAAATAACATTTCTATATTATCTTCATTGAGTGCCATCCAAAACATTTCATAATGCAAGCAGTTTAACCCCTTTCTGATTTCATCAATAAGGGGACTTGGTTTTGTTATCAAAATTTCACTTGCTATAGACAATAATTGTTCCTCCAACTCGGTGGATGACGGATTTCCAAATAAACTGTAACAAGTGAAAAATGATGTTACATCAGATTTCTGACTAGGGGTTAGTTGAGAAAAGTCGTGCATTGCTTTTTTCAATAAGCTCCTTTCGTAAGGAGTGATATAGTTTAAAAAATCATTTAACAATACATTGCTTGAAACAATTGCATCTGGATTTGCAAGCTTTAAGATAAAAGTTTTGCAATATTTCATAGGTACACTTTTCAACAAACAAGTCGAGTGATCCAATACTCTTCCAATTATTTTGTATTGGCAGAGCTCTTTTCGGTACCTATGTAACGGCAAAAATGGAATTAGGGCATTTTCGCCTGCAAAGTTCAATTCCTCCACTTTCTTGAAAAAGATCGTGTACACTTCCTTTGTTAATCCACCACAATCAGTTCCTGTCTCGTTTTCAGAAATGATGAACAGATGCTTCGTACATACAGTTTCATCTGTATAATACTTCATCATTTCTTCTAAAACATTGTCTCGATGGAAATGTAATGTTAGCTGTTCTGCATTGTTTAAATCAACTTCAGGGAATTCTACAAAAAAGAAAACAGTGTGAGAATGTTCTTAACATAACTTACTTCTAAAATAATCAAGATTTGAATAGCTTGAATGTGTAAAGGTACTTAAAATGTCTCACAAAAGCAATATCCTTAAAACAGAGTACTCATTTGCTGTTCTATTGAAAGCGACATCACTATAACATGTTATATGGTATTCCCATTTTTAATAATGACACTATATTATGCAGATTTATGTGCAATAAAACTATTTACCTATTGGAGACATAGGAAGTGATTCATTATCATCGACTACTATATCTACATTGTCCTCTGGTACGTCTACACTTTCCCAGTTGAATTCTGTATGTTGTTCACTTCTAACTTGTTGTACGGATGATAAATTGCCATTCGATGTGCTAGTAGCGCATTCAGGCAAATCTCGGTTGGAATTCACTTGTGGAGGGACTGCAAAATGGGGAAAAACCATTAATTTATATCACTATAAATCTAAAAAATACTTAACAATTCGAGTACAATTCATATTACTAGAAGTTGCTGTACTTCTTACATTTCTGAGAGTTTCTCTGATTACACGTTGGGTATGTGCTGATCCATGTTGCTGTTGTGTTGTACTACTAGACACACTGACATTAGGAACTTCTGGCAAATCTCTATTAGGAATGATAATTAAATTTCCTTGGCCACAAACTTTTTTAAGGTCTTCAACAGTGTCCAACTGAGTGTCTATTACCTTTATTTTACGTTGTCTATCACAAAACGCAAATTTTATACCTGTCAACCTCAGTGGAGCATCAGGATACAGACTAAATATATAGTCTTCCAGCTCAGGTATAATAGACCAATGTCTGGCAATTTCTACTTTCTCACTTGGAACACCTACAGCGACATTATTTTAATATTATGCTAGATATTAAAAAATTTACATCTTACCATATCCAATTTCGTTTAAATACATAATTTCCGCTGCAGCTGGGTAAAAATCAGCATTGGCACGTCTTAATAAAACAATCTTTTTCTTCCAATACTTCTGGGTTTTTTTCTTTCTGTAACTATTTCTTCGAAATGATCTTCTGGTGGTCGCTACTACTCTTTCAAAGTCGTCGTCGTCACTAGACGAATGAAGTGCATTAACCGCATTAGTAATTATTGATGAGATTGCTCATTCATGGTTGTCACTTGATAAATAATACACCTTAATTCACACACGTGGGAAGTACCGAGTCGAACTAAGCGCAAGCGCATGTGCAGTGACACTCATGACAGTAACTTTATAAGCAGTATGCGTATAACCAAAGTGGTCCCGGGTCCGTCTAGCTAGAGAAGATGGATTCTTACTAGATCTACATTAAAACAGTTATTATCGTATTAAATTAAGTGCGCAGGATTGAGTTCTTCAAATAGCATGAGAATATCAAATTTCATACCAACACAGATAGTCGTGGGATGAAACACATTCGAATGCGACTAAATAAACGAGAATTTGGCGACGATATGCAAAGTTTTCTCTACAACTGTAAAACAATTTTTAATAAAATGGTTTCATATCAATTTAAGCTGCACAGGGCGCGAAGGGTTCACTGGTGTCACTCATGGTGCAAAAATCTAGTCTGCGAATTTTAAACCGTCAAATAACCTTTGTTCAGGTTCATCTTCACATGATTTTCATTTTACTGTAAGATATTTCAGCAAAAAAGTAAAGAAAAACAAACAAATAATGATGGTGGGACTGTGGCAGCACTGTTTTGTAATTTTAAACTTGCTCAAAAATTGCACAATGTAAGGTTGATTGCAAGGCAAGACAATCTTTAAACTTGCATAGCACAAAACTCGCCTTGCACAAAAATTGCACAATGTAAAGCGGCCTTTAATTTGCAGGAAACAAATCGCGCTAGTTAGCTAGTCGTCTACTTTTTCTAGAATTATGAGAGAACTTATTCTTACGTTTACAAAGTTAATATACGAAATGCCTTGAGTGAATTTCCGAAAGAATTCATAACATAAGGAATCAATTTAACAGCTAACTAACTACCAACAAAAAACCAGGCCAGGCGGGCATCGTTGAACCTTATTTATCAAAGTGGCTTTTGTTTTTATGAAGTGATGTATTATGCAAATTAGTAATAAAAAATATATCAACGGTGAAAAAAGTTTTGATTTCTTCTTTTTAGTAATTTTACATGAATATATGTTGACAAAAAACTTTTTTTAGGGCTGGATAATCTAGATGCGGGTGGCACACCGTCACTATTGAGTGACCTAACGTACTCCTAGATTGAACATTACAGCGGACTTACCCCCTAACAAGGATACGATTACGTGCCAAAGTTTTTGTATAATCTTTTTGGGGAAGGAGTGATCGTCGTTTTATTTGTGTTAGAAAATAGTAGAAGCATTCCTTCCCCTTCCCCCAAAATATTACACAAAAAGTGGGACACTTAATCATATCTGTCTGGATGGTAAAAAG